GTTGTTCCCGTTGTTGTTGTTCCCGTTGTTGTTGTTCCCGTTGTTGTTCTCGTTGTTGTTCTTGTTGTTGTTGTTCTCGTTGTTGTTGTTCTCGTTGTTGTTGTTCTCGTTGTTGTTGTTCTCGTTGTTGTTGTTCTCGTTGTTGTTGTTCACGTTGTTGTTGTTCTCGTTGTTGTTGTTCTCGTTGTTGTTGTTCCCGTTGTTGTTGTTCCCGTTGTTGTTGTTCCCGTTGTTGTTCTCGTTGTTGTTCTTGTTGTTGTTGTTCTCGTTGTTGTTGTTCTCGTTGTTGTTGTTCTCGTTGTTGTTGTTCTCGTTGTTGTTGTTCCCGTTGTTGTTGTTCCCGTTGTTGTTGTTCCCGTTGTTGTTCTCGTTGTTGTTCTCGTTGTTGTTGTTCTCGTTGTTGTTGTTCTCGTTGTTGTTGTTCTCGTTGTTGTTGTTCTCGTTGTTGTTGTTCCCGTTGTTGTTGTTCCCGTTGTTGTTGTTCCCGTTGTTGTTCTCGTTGTTGTTCTCGTTGTTGTTGTTCTCGTTGTTGTTGTTCTCGTTGTTGTTGTTCTCGTTGTTGCTGTTCTCGTTGTTGTTGTTCTCGTTGTTGTTGTTCCCGTTGTTGTTGTTCTCGTTGTTGTTGTTCTCGTTGTTGTTGTTCCCGTTGTCGTTGTTCCCGTTGTTGTTGTTCCCGTTGTTGTTGTTCCCGTTGTTGTTCTCGTTGTTGTTCTTGTTGTTGTTGTTCTCGTTGTTGTTGTTCTCGTTGTTGTTGTTCTCGTTGTTGTTGTTCTCGTTGTTGTTGTTCCCGTTGTTGTTGTTCCCGTTGTTGTTGTTCCCGTTGTTGTTCTCGTTGTTGTTCTTGTTGTTGTTGTTCTCGTTGTTGTTGTTCTCGTTGTTGTTGTTCTCGTTGTTGTTGTTCTCGTTGTTGTTGTTCCCGTTGTTGTTGTTCCCGTTGTTGTTGTTCCCGTTGTTGTTCTCGTTGTTGTTCTTGTTGTTGTTGTTCTCGTTGTTGTTGTTCTCGTTGTTGTTGTTCTCGTTGTTGTTGTTCTCGTTGTTGTTGTTCTCGTTGTTGTTGTTCTCGTTGTTGTTGTTCTCGTTGTTGTTGTTCTCGTTGTTGTTGTTCCCGTTGTTGTTGTTCCCGTTGTTGTTGTTCCCGTTGTTGTTCTCGTTGTTGTTCTTGTTGTTGTTGTTGTTGTTGTTGTTGTTCTCGTTGTTGTTGTTCTCGTTGTTGTTGTTCTCGTTGTTGTTGTTCTCGTTGTTGTTGTTCTCGTTGTTGTTGTTCTCGTTGTTGTTGTTCTCGTTGTTGTTCTCGTTGTTGTTGTTCTCGTTGTTGTTGTTCTCGTTGTTGTTGTTCTCGTTGTTGTTGTTCCCGTTGTTGTTGTTCCCGTTGTTGTTGTTCTCGTTGTTGTTGTTCTCGTTGTTGTTGTTCTCGTTGTTGTTGTTCCCGTTGTTGTTGTTCCCGTTGTTGTTCTCGTTGTTGTTCTCGTTGTTGTTGTTGTCGTTGTTGTTGTTCTCGTTGTTGTTGTTCTCGTTGTTGTTGTTCTCGTTGTTGTTGTTCTCGTTGTTGTTCTCGTTGTTGTTGTTCCCGTTGTTGTTGTTCCCGTTGTTGTTGTTCCCGTTGTTGTTCCCGTTGTTGTTCTCGTTGTTGTTCTTGTTGTTGTTGTTCTCGTTGTTGTTGTTCTCGTTGTTGTTGTTCTCGTTGTTGTTGTTCTCGTTGTTGTTGTTCTCGTTGTTGTTGTTCTCGTTGTTGTTGTTCTCGTTGTTGTTGTTCTCGTTGTTGTTGTTCCCGTTGTTGTTGTTCCCGTTGTTGTTGTTCCCGTTGTTGTTCTCGTTGTTGTTCTTGTTGTTGTTGTTCTCGTTGTTGTTGTTCTCGTTGTTGTTGTTCTCGTTGTTGTTGTTCTCGTTGTTGTTGTTCCCGTTGTTGTTGTTCCCGTTGTTGTTGTTCCCGTTGTTGTTCTCGTTGTTGTTCTCGTTGTTGTTGTTCTCGTTGTTGTTGTTCTCGTTGTTGTTGTTCTCGTTGTTGCTGTTCTCGTTGTTGTTGTTCTCGTTGTTGTTGTTCTCGTTGTTGTTCCCGTTGTTGTTGTTCTCGTTGTTGTTGTTCTCGTTGTTGTTGTTCCCGTTGTCGTTGTTCCCGTTGTTGTTGCTCCCGTTGTTGTTCTCGTTGTTGTTCTCGTTGTTGTTCTTGTTGTTGTTGTTCTCGTTGTTGTTGTTCTCGTTGTTGTTGTTCTCGTTGTTGTTGTTCTCGTTGTTGTTGTTCTCGTTGTTGTTGTTCCCGTTGTTGTTGTTCCCGTTATTGTTGTTCCCGTTGTTGTTGTTCCCGTTGTTGTTCTCGTTGTTGTTCTTGTTGTTGTTGTTCTCGTTGTTGTTCTTGTTGTTGTTGTTCTTGTTGTTGTTGTTCTCGTTGTTGTTGTTCTCGTTGTTGTTGTTCTCGTTGTTGTTGTTCTCGTTGTTGTTGTTCCCGTTGTTGTTGTTCCCGTTGTTGTTCTCGTTGTTGTTCCCGTTGTTGTTCTTGTTTTGTTGTTCTGGTTGTTGTTGTTCTCGTTGTTGTTGTTCTCGTTGTTGTTCCCGTTGTTGTTGTTCCCGTTGTTGTTGTTCCCGTTGTTGTTGTTCCCGTTGTTGTTCTCGTTGTTGTTCGTGTTGTTGTTGTTCTCGTTGTTGTTCTTGTTGTTCTTGTTGTTGTTGTTCTCGTTGTTGTTGTTCTCGTTGTTGTTGTTCTCGTTGTTGTTGTTCTCGTTGTTGTTGTTCCCGTTGTTGTTGTTCTCGTTGTTGTTGTTCCCGTTGTTGTTGTTCCCGTTGTTCTTGTTCCCGTTGTTGTTCTCGTTGTTGTTCTCGTTGTTGTTGTTCTCGTTGTTGTTCTTGTTGTTGTTGTTCTTGTTGTTGTTGTTCTGGTTGTTGTTGTTCTCGTTGTTGTTGTTCTCGTTGTTGTTCTCGTTGTTGTTGTTCTCGTTGTTGTTGTTTCCGTTGTTGTTGTTCCCGTTGTTGTTCTAGTTGTTGTTCTCGTTGTTGTTCTTGTTGTTGTTCTCGTTGTTGTTGTTCTCGTTGTTGTTCTCGTTGTTGTTGTTCTCGTTGTTGTTCCCGTTGTTGTTGTTCCCGTTGTTGTTGTTCCCGTTGTTGTTGTTCCCGTTGTTGTTGTTCCCGTTGTTGTTCTCGTTGTTGTTCTCGTTGTTGTTCTCGTTGTTGTTGTTCTCGTTGTTGTTGTTCCCGTTGTTGTTGTTCCCGTTGTTGTTGTTCCCGTTGTTGTTGTTCCCGTTGTTGTTCTCGTTGTTGTTCTCGTTGTTGTTGTTCTCGTTGTTGTTGTTCTCGTTGTTGTTGTTCTCGTTGTTGTTGTTCCCGTTGTTGTTGTTCCCGTTGTTGTTGTTCCCGTTGTTGTTGTTCCCGTTGTTGTTCTCGTTGTTGTTCTCGTTGTTGTTCTTGTTGTTGTTGTTCTCGTTGTTGTTGTTCTCGTTGTTGTTGTTCTCGTTGTTGTTGTTCTCGTTGTTGTTGTTCTCGTTGTTCTCGTTGTCGTTGTCGAAGCCAGCGAGGCGGCATACGCTTCTTGCATGAGTCAAGCGACCACTAAAGTGGGGCGTGGGAGTCAACAATTTAGGTCACAGGAGCGTTTTAGAGCGCAGCTCTTAGGGGCCCGTTCCCGGCTTGAGCGGCGTCGGCGTCGCCGTCGGCGTCGGCGTAACCAACGTCATCCCAAGGTCACGTGCCCCCCAAGGTCATCCCAAGGTCATCCCACGGTCACGTGACCCCCAAGGTCACCCCAAGGTCACGTGACACTCAAAGTCACGTGACCCCCGAGGTCACGTGACCCCCCCAGGTCACGTGACCACCCCCAGGGTCACACGACCCCCGCCGAGGTCACGTGACCTCCCTGATGACGTCATCGTCACTGATGACGTCATCAGTGATGATGACGATGACGATGCGGATGCCGGTGAGGTCATCAGTGACGTCTCTGATGACGTCATCAGTGATGATGACGATGACGATGCGGATGCCGGTGACGTCATCGGTGACGATGACGTCATCGGGGAGGTCACGTGACCTCGGGGGGGGGGGTCACGTGACCCTGGGGGTGGTCACGTGACCTGAAGGTGTCACGTGACTTCGGGGGGCATCCGCATCGTCATCGTCACAGATGACGTCATCAGTGACGTCACTGATGACGTCACCGACATCCGCATCGTCATCGTCATCATCACTGATGACGTCATCGGAGTCCGCATCGTCATCGTCACTGATCACATCATCGGTATCGTCACGTGACCCCCCAAGGTCACGTGACCCCCCCAGGTCACTTCACCTCCCCAGTACCCTTCCCTCCTCCTCCTCAAGAGCTGCGCTCTAATTCGGTGTTACAGGGAGTTGTAAACGGCTTTCACTTTTTTTTTAATATAAAAGCAATCTAAATGCAATACCTTACCGTAATGGGGGGGAAAAAACATTCAAATCAAAGAACATATAGCGTAGAACTTTCTCCGAGTGTCATATTTTTCTTTGACTTGAAAGTTCACTAATATATCTGCCCCATGATCTCAGGTGTTACATTATGATTGTTTATCGCCAGCCCATCAGCACACTCACTGTTATTCCATGAAAATTGGCTCAATTTTCTGCCGCTGAGAGCGGGTTTTGAATTAAAGACGTGAGATTAATTTTATTTAACGTTTGGATGTTTTCTTGAATGTCTCCGGCCACTACATATGTTTATTCTAAACAAGGACGCTTATTATTTTGGCTAGCATGGTTGTATCGTAATCACACAACCGCAAAAGAGAACATATTATGAAAACATTATTAATTTGCAAAAAATATGGCTCGATTAGTTTTCAGTTTCGAAACTTAGATGTAGATATTATGATTCAGGTGGAAAGAGAAGAGTTACTTCACATCATAATTGTTCTCAACTGCATGCCCAATAATTCCTCATGTCAAGTGTTTCACTAACTATGAAATATGCTGTTTATAAACGTATATGTGTGATATACTAAGTATTAACAAGTTAATTTCAACATGCACTATTTCTCAAGCTCGACCAAATTACGTTTGACTGGGCTGGTCGAGGCGCACTGGCAGAACAAGATGAAGAAGTAATCGCTGCCTACAAGAAGGTTATTGCGTCAACTGCGAAGGTCTTCAGACCCAACTTAACTGAAGACGAGGCAAAGAAAATTTCTCAGGATATAGTACAGTTTGAGGTCAAACTGGCAAAGGTAATATATAACGCATTTCAAAAGTAAATCTGAAGTATTGGGCGTCTCAAATAACCAGGCTGTATCTAAAATGGTCCGTAAAAATCGGCGTCTGCACGTAGCAATCCAAACCTTTTGTCAAAGGTGTATTTCAGAAATCGTTTTCATCTTGTAAAAATCCAAAGCGTAGCTTCCTTTCTGTAAAAAAGAAGGTCCAAAATACTTGCCATGGTCAACGGCGGACGGCGACATAGACGACCAGTCGTGTGACACGGGGCCCGTTTGGTGCACGTCTTGAAAGATGGCTCTACCTCCTTATCGAGACTAAAAGGAACTTTATTTGAGAGTGCTCGCGACGACTGTGGTCTATTTAAACTAACAAAATATTTTTATAATGTACATTTGGGTAGAAAATAAATGCGGACAATAAAAACAAAATGAAGTAAGGCAAAAAAAAAAGAAAAAAAAACGCGGTTGCATAATGACGACGTTTTCGCTGCCGACGGATTTCATCTGCGTGTCGCTTGCATTCTCTCGCTGGTAAGCTACACCTTCCGCCGCTGCTCCCGATGCCATCTACCAAAACGTGCGCCAAACGCGCCCCGCCACTCTACTCGGTTGTCTGCGTCGCCGGCCACTGTTGACCGTGGCAAGCTTTATGGCCATATCTTTTACAGAATGGGAGCTACGCTTCATATACTTAAAAGGTAAAACCGACCTGTGAAATACACTCTTGACGAAACATTTAGATTGCTTCGTGCAGGCGCCGATATTTACGACCCATTTTAAACCGAACCTGAGAATTTCGAACACCCATGCATATTTTATCTTCCGCTAAAACGAATTTATGCATTTCCTGAAAAAATGCATACAGGTACCATAAACTTTAGGTGGATTTTATGCGTTTAATATTTGTTATTGTGTTTGAGATATTTCACGAAATGCTGACTTTTGTGCAATTGCTCAAGTTTTGGTACCAAGTACCCAATGCGATGCATTTTAGCGGGAACAAGCTATTCACAATATAACTATTTCTTTTCAAATTTGATTTTCAATTTTAAAACAAATAACTTTAATTGCGGGGAGTATTCAAAGTTACAAAGTTTGGTACTTCTCACGCTGTGCCTAAGTAAAATACACCGAAGCGTTGTTGTTGTGTAGGTGTAAACATTGTCGTGCAGCGTTAAAAAAGAACCAGTCCTTAAATATTAAGTTCCTCACCGCTCCCACTCAACGTGTTAATAAAGGTGTCAATATAAGTTAGAATTTTTTTCTATGTAAAGTAAGATATATATTTATGCTTAAGTATGAAGCTCTTCTGCGAAGTGAATTTTATAAATCATTTCACTGACAATCTAAGATATTGTTCGTTTATTTTCATAAAAACTAATTATCTCTGATTCATCGAACTTTCATCATCTTTGAGATTTCTCAATGGCATTAAAGTCAATATATTTACCAGTAAACGGGAGCATTCATCAGGTTAAAAAACACCAGCTAAGTACGGTGATCACATAAAGCTTAAGATCCTTTTAAAGACCTTAAACACAGTATCCCAGATAGTAAAATTCCCACCAAAAAGCAATTTTTCATTCGCTTTAATACTCAATTGGATATTGCCGAAAAGCCATCCCGGTGGCCAAAAAGGTTGCGAAAAAAAATATTTTAGTGCTGCTTACGTAGGATACCTTAACGGGGTTTTGCACTTACTCCAATCATTACCGTGTGTGTCAGTGGTCTGGGAAATTATTTCTGCGCACTGCAATTTTAATTTGTTACCAAAACATTCGGGCCGGCCTATTAATTTAGCTAGACTAGAACGTCTGGGCACCCTTGACAAACACGGTACTAGTGCCTTCTGCCTGGAATACACCCAAAAAAGGACTCGCAATAAAACATAACTCGCCAAAAAAGATATCGGGAAGATTTTGAGAATATAATAATTACAACCGTTATTCCGATGTTGTCCTTTTCTTTTTCTAAGCTCTGTAAGTCTGGTGAAGACAGGCGTAATTACTCCTCAATGTACAACGAAATGAACATATCTATCTTGGCTGAAAAGTACCCAAAGGTAAGCGGAACGCAAACTTTAACAGCTTTTTTTTTCAAAGCGACCTCAATTTATGTAATAATAGAGTACACTACAATGCTCCTCCTAGTCATAGGAAATTTATAGTACTCGTACAATTCAATCATTGATCTTAATATTAATGTAGCAGAGCAACGTGTACTTGACTTCAGGGTGTTTCCAGGTCAGATCGTAAAATGATAGTCCAGGTCATATTTTTAGAGTTATGTAAAACTATATGTTAAAGCCATATTCCTGGAAGGAGCATTCAGCTATATGCGAACGCCGTAACTAATTTTAATCCGGAGATACAAAATTTCGAAGCTCCAGGAGTGGTGAATGCCAAGGTTTCGCTATGGTAAATTGCATAGCTGTCAGTTCCACACCGAAGCATGCACATATTAATATTTTTTACTTTTTTATTTTATGGAAGGTATGCAACATGTACGCGGAATACTGTAAATGACAATAAAAGATTTCCATGCCAACATATTTTCGAAACCCATCTAACAAGCACGTTTTAAAGACATTCACAATCATTCACCATCGAATTACTTAACATAAAATAAGGCGAAATATTTCAGAATTATCAACTTTAAGTGAGTATTACGAATATATAAAAGATTATGCTTATTCAATATTGGAGTTATGTTAGTAATCCAGAAACGATGCACATTCTACTAAATGTGGCACAACTTCACGTAAATATTTGAAAGGAAAATCCAATTTTTTTTTATGTTCTTTAAAATCTGCTTATCCGTTCAGAGTTACTTGAACTAGCTTGTGATGGCAAGAAAACGAGTATCATATGATCTCTTAAAGAGAAAAACGACAACAAACCTTTACTCAAATTGAGCTGGCTTGTAAGGTTGTGCGAATAGTGGTTTGAATTAAGTAGGGCAACGTCATCCCTAGCTTCTGCGCTGTTGAATGAACTATTCGTCTTCCCTTTCCATTACACTGCCAAGGCTATGAATGACGCAGCGCTATTCAAGTCGAACCTTGCACAGCCCTACTAGCTTGCCCTCGTTACAGGGGCTTTGCCGCGCAACTTTGGCTGTAATGGAGCGTTCACACTGGCAAGTCGCAGCTGTCGCGCGACAACTTTTGTCCCAAGAGCAATAATTGCAGTAACGAAAGCGACAGGTTTGAAGCAGTGGCTTTCATATCGATTTTTGCGACCGGGCGCCCAGTCGCGTGGCGGCTGAACTAATCAGCGGCGCTTCGAAAGTGCCGAGAGGTACGCCTCGCGCTTGTTCTGTGGGAGAACCATTAAACATGTCCGTCCCACGCCTCGGTTCGCGGCCGCGGATAGGGAGCCACGGAGGTTTGTTAGGCGACTCTTTTCAGCGCTATTAGAGGATAGACATTTCTTTATAAAAACAGCACCCCGATTCGAAGAAGCACTCGAAAAAGAACGCGGCCTGACTGCAAATCCGTTCCACTTTAGTTTTGACAGATTCGTACAGCGCCGAAGTTGCTCGATAGAGTGCACGCCGATCTAGTGATTGTGCGTCTTTGTACGGTTCAGAAGGACCCATGCCAACGTAACGAGCATTTTATATTGAAAGGGCGATGCATGTGTAGCTGTGAGACAACGAAAATGGGAAAGCTGCGAAACGCCAACCTGAACTGTTGCAGGGAGGACGGAATCGACGAAGGTTCCCGATAGCTTCCGAAAGCGACTCGCAGGTAGCGGCTATATATACACAGCGATGAGGGTCTCTGTGGCGTCTCTGATCTGCTCTACCGCTATCTGCACCATCTTCTAATAGTGTAATAGTACGTTTTTGTTGTCGGAAACCATAGTGGTATTACCTAATAAAAAAAAATATATCACGGAAGCTAGTCATCGGAAGTTGTACACATTTTGTTTATCATACGAGGTAATTAGGTAGAAGAGGGATTGGTCGGTAGCTCTCAAACTCTTGATGTTTTCCATGTTTATAAGATTTAGGCTCTTCGGAATACTTCCACTATAGAGGATGTCAATAATAATTATTTGTGAGATCTGCAACAGTCTATCAAAATTATACCTAATATCTCGGATTCTTATGTTGTAGTTTTTAGCGTAAAAATGATAATTTTCAAATATAATTTTTTGTTCTATAGGGCAAATACGCCGAAATAGAGCACTTGACTTGAGGAGTGATAGCAATGTGACAAACAGTGGAGTAAATGTTTTATCTTTTTTTACAGAGTTGATACACATTTTTTTTAAAGACACTGATAATGCCGCATAAGAACTTGGCCCATGGAAATGTTTCTGAATTATATCATCCACACTATTTTTAGCTTTTTGCCAAATTAACTGGTTTAGTAAGTTCCAGGTCTCCTTCGAATTTGTTCTTGATTGAATGAACCGATTTAAGATATGTTTCCTTTTGGCTGAGCGTATTTCGCTGTCACTTTGTTACGAATTTCAGGAATTTCATTTCTTAGCTTGGTGTTTCCATGATTCCAAAGCTGGTCCTAATATTAACACAATTGGAAAATTCCTTCGTTGATCTGGGTATTCTGGGGCCTCCGTTTCGTCAACTTTACTCTTCTGGGACTAATAAAATAAATGTTCTGAAAGGTTTCCACAAGTTTGTCCTACGTTTGTCAGTACTGTAACAGAGAATTCCATTTATACTTATGATTTGAGTTATCAATTTCTGTGTTGCCCTGCATCACTTTGTATCTAATTTCTGTATCCGGATATTCAGCAACCGTTTCTAGTGTTAAAAGTATAATAATGCGATGATCAGCTACCTTTCATTAACAACTCCAGATAAGATTTTTAAATTACTGACTCTCGTAACTATGTGATCTATACATGATTTCGTAATTTTTTACCATAGTATTCCTCCTGGGTATAGTTAATAATTATATTTCCTACGACAAAATGCGGGAAGCTGTCAAGTATGTACGATACTCCTTGCTTTGTCTCGTTTTAAATATCAATATTAAATCTACAACACGACCTCTGTATTAATGGTTATTGAAATTGTAAAGTAATTGTCTCCATTTATCACAACATATGTTTACATTCGAACTGTGTGGCCTGTAAAACGTGCAAATGACGTACGAAACATTCATTTTATTAACGGTCGCAACGCAGATCTGTGCTTGTTGGAAATACACGAATTTTTCCAGACAAGGAATGGTCATTTATATACAAAATAATAACATTCCCTTTTCTGCCATTTCGACATAAGCTATAGACCGACACGCGGGCTTGACGTCACGGAGCTGCGGCGGCGCTGCGATCGCGCCGGAGCCCGGGGGGTGTGGGCAAAAGCGCGCACGTTTCGCATGGGCGTCATAGCATTTCAGCATGCCGCGAAGCTGTGTTGCCGGTTATTGCACCGAAATGTACAAGAAAAGCAGCGGAGTGAGTTTCCACAAGTTCCCGGCAGACTCTGAAAGGCATAGAAGGTGGATAATATCTGTGAATCGAAAAGTATGGTCGCCTCGCGCGAACGACCGTTTGTGCGGCAAACACTTTCTTGAAGGCAAGTGCGGCTTCCATTTCAATCTCCGTCCCGAGGCTTGCTTATGTGCAGGGAAACCGTTGTCTGATCGAGACCACCCGGATTTCGTTCCCATGGTGTTCGCGCACAAAGCACCGGCCAAGCGCTCGTCGGAGGCTCGTTACGCCCGTGCTACCCAACAGAAGGGGATCAGCGACAGAACGGCAGTGTTGCAGGCGTTACCGAAAAAAAGTAACGAAATACGTTACTCGTTACTTGCAAATAAAAGGTACGCGTTACTGAGCTACGTTACCTAAAAATAAAAGGAACGCGTTACCGCTACCGATAAAAAGTAACGCACGTTACTTCCGATTCTGCGTTACTTTTTTAGATTATGATTTAATACATTTTACGGGTTTGACGATACAGGTAATATATCAAGAAACATTATGTTCATGCAGAAACTGAACATAATTACTTTATCTCTTTTTACCGTTTCATCTAAATACTTAGGAGAGAAAACGCAAAGAAAATCATGGCTTGACGCCTAAAACACGTAAAAAATTGAAGTGTAATTTCTTTAAGACTTAGGAAGCAGTAACGAGTAACGTAACTACGTTACTTGAAATAGTAACATAAGTACGTTACCCGCCGGCAGTGCGGAAACCAACTCGAAGTAATCGTAGACCTCGAGAAACGTGTACGCCTGCACCGTGTCGGCCGTGAACTGGCTTGGCGAAAAAACTAAATAAACGACGACGTGAGCCATCGACGTCGGTGGCAGCAACTTTACGTCGGAAGTCCAGCAGGGTTTGTCTATACGGCGTACGGATCCTCGTAGTCAACGCCGTCCACGCACAGTTTTTTTCGATACCGCTGCCGTTCAGGCTCGGGCAACGAGCTCAAATAGTCGGGCATAGCATACGACATACGTTGTGAGGAAATACGACGCACAAATAAAGATACAAGCGTCCCTACAACGTCAACAACGAGCGGACGCCATAGAGCGCAATGGCGAAAACACGGAGAGCCGGTCTGCTTTTGCCCACATAGCTACCGCGCATGCGCGGCCTTCCGGCCGTGTTGGTAAACAGAGCCGCTCCGCGTGTCGGTCTATGCTATAAATGAAAGCCTTGTAAGGAGACCGTAGCGCAAGCTGCCTCGTCAACATTTACATGTCTCAAAATAGGCACATTTAAAAATAAAATTCGCTCGTCTAATAATAGCAGTAACTGAACCCGATCCGTACGATTACTTCAAACATTTCTGTAAATTCAATTTACCTTAGCGTCAAGGTGACCTTCTACATTCGAACCCCCAATGTATGCACCCGACTTACGGAACGAATCAGAAGACGAGTCCATGTTCACCTAATTTTAACTAGGTCTCGTTCACTCCTGATTTGAATTGCTGCCGCTCGCTATTTTTGACTGAAGAATATTTTCCTATTTCTGATCACAGTAAAAGTTGTAACCCATTCCATAGCACAAGCATTCGGGAAGCGTGGGGAGGCCCAGGGTTCCATTCCTGAGAGATTCGCGTCTTTTA